ACCGCCCCTTCCTCACACTGTGTTGTGTGTGTTGTGTGTTGTCGTCACAGCGACACTCTGAGTGTCGTGGCCTCAGAGCACCGCCCCTTCCTCACCAAGCAGAGAGCTTTGGGTAAAGAAGATTTCACTAAAATCCCTCATGGRGTGTCTGGAGTCCAGGACAGGATGAGTGTCATCTGGGAGAGGGGAGTGGTACGTGCACACACACAACTGTGCAACAACGTTAACACAACTGTTGTGCTGCTGAGTCACAACCATGAACACTGTCTTCATAACGTCTGCAGGTTTCAGGAAAGATGGACGAGAACCGTTTTGTGGCTGTGACCAGCTCGAACGCTGCAAAGATCTACAACCTGTATCCTCGTAAAGGACGTATCATCCCTGGAGCAGACGCTGATGTCGTGGTGTGGGACCCTGATGCAACAAGGTAAACCTCCTCATGTTGACTCATTATTGCATCATTCAGCACAGCTGATGGTGTCTGTGTGCAGGAGCATCGCTGCCAGCACTCAGGTGCAGGGCGGAGACTTCAACCTGTATGAAGGCATGCGYTGCCACGGCGTTCCTCTGGTCACCATCAGCCGGGGGCGTGTGGTGTGTGAGAACGGTGTGTTCATGTGCGCCGAAGGCTCCGGGAAGTTCTACCCCCAGCGCATTTTCCCTGACTTCCTGTATAAGAAGATGGTCCAGAGAGAGAAGGTGGGTTCACAGGACACACTCACAGGTTTAAGGTCCATGTGTAAACACACACTGACTGTTGTGTTGCTGCACTCTGACACACAATATTCTACTGAACTTTAACTGAACACTGCTCTTTAAAACTTTTCTTTTCATGCTGACGATTACCTACAGAACTGTTTTTGTTGTGCACATCATTTAACAGTCCTTATTGGATGAACATGAATTATTAAACATTAAGACCTTTTAATCAGCAACAAAACAGTGAAACAAAGGAAAGAAGTTATAAAAGCCCTGACCCTGTAACTGTCATKAACAGGTACTGTTACAGGCTTTAGCAGTATAACAGTGTTGTGTTATACCTCAGTGTTAACATATTAAGACAATATATGAACCCTGTGGAGCCTGGTCACATCACATGGCTGTCCCATTAAAAAAACCAGTTCAGTCTGAAGGTTCAGACCAGCAGGTCTCAAACTTCTGTTGAGCCAAAACAACAAAAACAAACCATTAAAACCATAAAAACCATGAAAACCATAAAAACCATAAAAACCATAGAAACCATAAAAACCATAAAAACCCTTCGACCTCCTTCCTGACTGAGGCCCACAGTTATTTAACAATCAGGAAGAAAAAGGACGTCAACATTAAATGAAGTTTACAGCAGACTGAGAGACGGTGAGAGGAAGAAGAGAGCCTCTGCAGTCACTAAGTAGGAGTTTTATTTATTTATTTATTTATTTATTTATTTATTTATTTATTTATKTATTTATTTAACCTGGTAAATCCCCACTGAGATTCAGATCTCATTTGCAAGAGAGACCTGRGCAGAATCTGCAACACACAACCTGGTTACACAAAAATAAACCAAGTTAAAACATATAGACAAGTTAAAAACACGTCACAAAACAGATTAAAAGTAACGACACTGATGAATAAAATCATGTTTTTTTTTCAGAACACTTAAAGTAAATCTAATGAAATCAAATCTGACATGTTGAGTTCAGACTGGAGCTGATTCCACCCTACAGGAGCTGTACAGCCCGACTCACAACATCACAACATCACAACAAACACAACACAGCAGTGTGCTTTAAGGCTTTTATTAAAGGAGGCTTTCAGCTTCACACACACCTCACACTGATGGTGTGTAAGATGTTTGCAGCCTGTTACACAATGACAGGACTCATATATAAAACATGTCCATCTAAGGCAGGTAAGACGGTTACTGATACAACTTTCTTCTAGCTTTGAGAGAAAAACAGGATCTATGATGATCATAAAACCATCTTTATTCTCAGGGTTTGTAACCAGTTAGCTTTGTGCTCTTCTGTGGGAGAGTTAGCTGATTGGTCAGACTGACGGAGGGTTTGAAGAAGATGAGGAAAGCTTGGTCCAGTCAGACAGGAAGKTCCTGTTTTATAAGATTAATTTAGTCTTAACTTGAGACAGGAAGGTCCTGCATGAACTTTAACTCAATAAATTATGGTTACAAGTTCACAATCATTTTTATTTGAATCATTGTTCTGGTTTAAACTGTATGTAGATGGTAAATAAATCATATTATTTTACCATCCTTTTAGTTCAAATTCATTATTTTATAAATTGAAAATATTGAAGTTCTTTGATGTGGTTGATTATAATATTCTACAGGTTGTGTATAAGGCCCACAGAAACACATCACCTTTAAACATCCACGTAAATTCAGTTAAGAGAAACAGTTGTTATAACCTTAGAGACACAGAGATATTAGTAAAACCCAGATTCAGGACTAGTTTGAAGGAACAGTGTACTTTAATTTAAGGAATAAAACTATGGAWTAATCTGGGGAGTGATGTAAAAACACAGGATCATTGTGTACATTTAAGAAAATGATAAAAGTTGGTTTGTTAAAGAAATACAAAACAGTATAATGTGTATCTGTATAGATTGTTGTTCTAGAGGGATTACATGTTTTTGTCTTTTGTTTTGTTAATAACTGATTTTTTTTGTTATATGAACTTATTCTAGAGAAAAGGGACAGATATAAGATTTTTCTTCTCTCTGCTGCCTTTCATTTCATTTTATTTGTGATTCTGATATACATATATTTTTCTCACTGATTT